ATGTGTGTGTGTGTGTGTGTGTGTGTGTGTGTGTTTGTGTGTGCTTATAAATATGATTTTTGTTTGAAAAGCATTTCTTAAAAATCGAGGCTCAGCAAATTGAAACCAATTCATACTAAACAGAACTATTTTAACAAATTATTATTATAAGTGAACTATGAACTCTATGAAAATCCCGATGGTTTTGTTTGGCAATGTTGCCTTGAGGATCAGTGTATATATGAAGTGTATCAAATGATTCGTCCGAAAACAGTCCAATTTGTATGCAGGGCCTGACGGTGACAGGCTGGGACTGTGTCAAAGGTGAGAGCGGCAACTGTCCGGCCTTGACTCCGGGGACGTCCACTCAAGTGCTCAACCTGAATTCCTGGAGCCTCACCACGTACAGGTGGGTTCTTATGTTAGAGCAGAGGGTTACAAAGTTACAGTTGGGTTGTTATGTTGGGGCAGGGGGTTACAAAGTTACAGGTGGGTTGTTATGACAGTTAGAGCAGAAGTTTCAGAGTTACGAGTGGGTTGTTATGTTAGAGCACGGGTTACAAAGTTAAAGGTGGGTTGTAATGTTAGGGCAGGGGTTACAGAGTTACATCTCGTAAAGGCGAGTTGTTATGTTAGAGTAGGGGATTACAATTTTTAAGTAGGTTACACAGGTGCAGGTAGGTTGTTATATTAGTGTAGGGGATACAAAATGTTCTCCAAAGCTGACTGGATAACTGAGTGAATGCCAAATGTTGGGTTGGATAATTGGCAGAATTCCAATTATTGCCCAGGTGAATGCGAGAGTACCGTTTGTCGGAGGGACAAATATTGTATTAAATGAAATGAAAGACTCGTCACATTAGTGCCGACAAAGACTTTGGCCACAATTAATTAAGTCTATAAACAAGCACGATTAATTTGCACTTTTTGCTTTGTATGATTTAATTAATTTGGAGACCTAGTCCTGAGCATACTACAAACGCATCTTCTTGTTGGATTTTCTTTTGCCACATGGGGGTATGACTGCCATGAGCAAGAGTGAAAGTTTTGGGTGTTGTTTGAATCTGGGTATTTCTCTACAAACTTTGTAATTGTAGGCGTTTTCCGGCCCCATCAGCAAAATCTAGATCATTGTGCAGGCCGGCTTCGACCTTACCTGATAGGGTCGACCCGAACTGAGAGCGATACAACGTCCTAATAGACCGCCGGAGATACACGATAATAATATGAAACCTCCCAAATTCGGGGATCGGACTCCTATCTTCTGTGTTTGATGGCTTAGGGCCTAAGCGCTCCACCACAGACGCCTGTGGGTATTCTTCCGGGTATGGATAATGTTTTGGATGTATCCGTTCTAGGGAAATATATGCCTTCTTTTGGGGGTGTGGGAGTATTGGTTTTTTAAAATTCTTTGTGAGATATAAATTTTGGTTGGGATATTATCGTTCAGCGAGAGGTCAACATTCTGGGAGCAAACTTTAGAGAGATAATAATTTTGAGGCACTTTTGTCAGCGGATATTCTCAGAGATGAATGCATGTTTTAGTGTGACATATCAAGGAATTTGAAAGGATCTGCGAGAAGGTTTAGTATTTTACAATGCTACCCCAACACAGGATCACCGCAAACCTGAAAAAAGGAACAAGAACTGTCAGCGCTCAAATCCTACTCGATGTCGTCTCAGGGAATCCGCCTCAGGTCGCCATCATGTAAGTTTTTCTTGTTATTTTTACTAGTAAGGAAGATGCATTCTTCACACCTATGAATGTGAATTTAAAATATAAGAAATCTACAATTAGAGTGTCTGTAAAGAATACTTTCATTACTTAGTAACATGGACCTCGGAAAAGGTTGCAAATTTACATCAGAGTGAGTAAATTTTCGTAATCCATTTATGGGATATCCAAGTGTGCTTCATGATAATATGTGTAATAATCTATAAAAGAAAAAAAAATCACGACCTAGCTACACGAGCCTTGTTTGTGGCTTTTCCAACATGCGAAAAGGCTCTTAAAATAACAAAGCATGTCTGGTGTAAAATGCTTCAATTCGAAATTTCCTTCAGGGATCTATTTGCGCGTAAGAAAATCAAAACAAAACAAACAACCCCCACCCCCAACAATGGATAAATAAAGAAATAAGATAATAAACAAACAACCACAAACAAAAATATCATATGGCTCATTAGTAAGCGATATCGTATGCCTTCCCCACACACAAATGAAACAAACAACAAACAAACAAACAAACAAACAAAACAAAACCAAACAAAAAAAAACCTTACCCGTAATTAATTTCCTTCTTTTCTTCCTCATGATAGCCCATCAAGCGGCAGCGTGTACTACCAAATGTCAAACGGCTACAAAGTTCTGAAATCCTCGCGACTGGGTCTGGACTGCGTTTGCATGGACTGCTCAGCCAGTGACGTCATTACCTACCAATGGAAAGTCATGATGGCAGACTACCGGTGGCCGGACAACTGGAGGCCCCTGGAACAGGTTGACGTGCTTGACCGGGTGCTCGGTGAGTTCTACAAGTTCTACATTCACCCGACGTGCCAATATCACACCAAAGTGTGTTTCTCCAGATCAAGTCACCTGCATAGAATATTCCTTTCTCTCTCTCTCTCTCTCTCTCTCTCTCTCTCTCTCTCTCTCTCTCTCTCTCTCTCTCTCTCTCTCTCTCCACTCCTGGGTTGCTACCCACTAAACTAAAGCAGTATATCGCTTTCCCGAAACAGCGCAAGAAAGGAAACAACTGGCTTAATCACTGCGATGTAGATTGTAAACAAACACGTTTTAACCTTTTCCGTTAATTCGTTTTTCACAGCAAAGTTTAATGTACACTGAAAATTTACACCAGAATAATAACATTAGAACCTACTCTGTCTCTCTTACCTGCCACAATTGTTAACCGATAGCTTACAGGAACGCAAACTGCCAAAATTCCTCGCAAAATAGTTCGTATCCGAACACTAACAGACACAAAGCTACAGCTGTTGAGGACGGGATAAAAGAAAAGTTTGCCGAGAGAATTATCCGTGCTTCGTGCCCCTGTGCAGTAGATCTGTATTTTAGCACAGCTTCGACGTTCTAAAGTGGACAAGGATTGAGCGTGTTTGTTCGGAGAACACATCCCCACAGAGCCACAAGCGCACTGTCAACACAAACTTGAAACAATACAGGATATCTCTCGTGTTAGCAAACGATAACTTCCTCTCCCCTCCCACGCTTTAACGTGTTAGATAAGGCACAACGGGAGATTCGAGTAGAGTCTAGATTAAATTCGTTTAAAAATATGAATAAATTACAAGTCAAGCACATTTAAACAATAGAATACCCACATTCATGAGACGGTTATGCAAGTTTTCGTTTCCCTCTGAAAGTAATTCCAATATCCAAGTAGGGAGCAAGCGCTCCAGAATTCATCACAAAGAACATTTCACTGCAGTTGGTTTCCCACGACGGAAATCGTCCACACGTTTACAGTAGCTGTTAAAAGCTAGCAAGTGCATGCTCGCTCCCTCCTTCCGTGTCTTCCCATTTTCAGGGAGGATGAAGGCGCGCAGGGGTGGGGTGGGGGAGGGGCTTTTTCCCCTTATACCTTCTTTTCTGTTTTCTCGCACAAGGCACGGGCCTTAA